TATTATTCGTCTAAAAAGTAAAATTCGACTAAGACGTTTTATTCGTCTAAGAAGTAAAATTCGACTGACACGTATTATTCGTCTAAAACGTAAAATTCGACTACGACGTTTTATTCGTCTGACACGTAAAATTCGATTGAGACGTATTATTCGTCTAAAACGTAAAATTCGACTAAGACGTTTTATTAGTCTGAGACGTAAAATTCGCCTTACACGTATTATTCGTCTAAGACGTAAAATTAGACTGAGACGTATTATTCGTCTAAGACGTAAAATTCGACTGACACGTATTATTCGTCTAAAACGTAAAATTCGACTAAAACGTTTTATTCGTCTGAGACGTAAAATTCGACTCAGACGTATTATTCGTCTAAGACGTAAAATTCGCCTGACACGTATTGTTCGTCTAAGACGTAAAATTCGACTAAGACGTTTTATTGGTCTAAGACGTAAAATTCGACTTAGACGTATTATTCGTCTAAGACGTAAAATTCAACTGACACGTATTATTCGTCTAAAACGTAAAATTCGACTAAGACGTTTTATTCGTCTGAGACGTAAAATTCGACTGAGACGTATTATTAGTCCGAGATGTAAAATTCGACGGAGACCTATTATTTGTCTAAGACGCAGAATTCGACTGAGACGTATTATTCGTCTAAGACGTAAAATTCGACTGACACGTATTATTCGTTTAAGACGTAAAATTCGACTGAGACGTATTATTCGTCTAAGACGTAAAATTCGACTGAGATGTATTATTCGTCTAAGACGTAAAATTCGATTAAGCCGTTTAATTCGTCTGGGACGTAAAATTCGGCTGAGACGTCTTATTCGTCTAAGACGTAAAATTAGAATAAGACGTTTTATTCGTCTGAGACGTAAAATTCGACTGAGACCTATTATTCGTCTAAGACGTAAAATTCGACTGAGACGTATTCTTTTAAGACGTAAAATTCGACGGAGACGTATTATTCGTCTGAGACGTAGTATTTGTCTAAGACGTAAAATTTTACTGAGATGTATTATTTGTCTAAGACGAAAAATTCGACTGAGATGTATTATTCGTCTAAGACGTTAGCAAATTCATTCATTCACTGTTAATTTTGCCTTTTACTTAAAGACGTAACACGTAAAATAGACTACGTCTCAGTCGAATTTGACGTCTCAGACGAATAATACGTCTTTGTCGAATTTTAGTTCTAAGTCTAATTTTACGTCTTAGACGAATGCGACTGAGACGAATTATTCGCCTAAGACGTAAAATGCGACTGAGACGTATCATTCGTCTCAGACGTAAAATTCGACTGACACGTATTATTTGTCTAAGACGTAAAATTCGACTGATATGTATTATTCGTGTGAGACAAAAAATCAGACTGAGATGTATTATTCGTCTAGGACGTAAAATTCGACTGACACGTATCATTTGTCTAAGACGTAAAATTCGACTGATATGTATTATTCGTCTGAGACAAAAAATTAGACTGGGATGTTTTATTCGTCTGAGACGTAAAATTCGACTGAGACGTAAAATTCGACTGAGACGTATTATTCGTCTAAGACGTATTATTCTTCTGAGACATATTCCTCTTAGAAGTACTATTCGTCTGAGACGTATTATTCATTTAAGTCGTATTGTTCGTCTGAGATGTATTATTCGTCTGAAACGTGTTATTCGTTTGAGACGTATAATTTGTGTGAGAAGTAATAGGTGGATAAGAGCAAGAGAGGCAGGAAGCAACCGCCAAGGCGCAGTGGAGGGAAGATGTCCAGTCCTTGTGCACCTCCTGTCTGTAAAACCGACCAATGGGTGTCTTTTCCATGTAATTCATAAAATACCCAGAAAGTCAATCATTCGAGATCAACTTATTGGGAACATGAAACTTTTAACTTTTCCAATACATTTACCGCAATTTTTGCTGTGTTTGCCCCCCAAGCAAGACACAGTCAGAAGCCGTGAAAAGGTCTCTGAGCAGAGATCTTGTCAAAACAAAACATTAGTTCTTACTTGCGTCCATGATCTACAGCCAAGTCAAGACAGTTCCTTCCTGTGTGGTCTGTGAGTGTTATGTCAGCGCCTTTCGACAGCAGCAATGATACCATATCGGCATGACCCTCTTTTGCAGCTAAGTGTAAAGGAGTTGTCTGTAAAACAATGACAAAGCAATCATTACTAACAGTCAATAACTTACAATTTGCAAAGCAGGGAAATTGCTACAATCAAGATTTTAATGACAGCTTTTGAGTGCTCGCAGGTCAGGGGCTGTTCCCCAGCGTTACTTTCAAACTAAGGCAAACTCCACTTACAACTGCCAAATAACGATAACTAACAAAATACTACGATTATCAGTTGAGTAAGGCGGGACGAAAGTTTGGTCACCAAGTTTTAACGTAAAAATCGTTTTGTTGTCACGAGCAACTGGCTCCGTATCCGTTGGCAACTTGCCCGCCTTTGACGTCAATTGGCAGCAAAGCGCGCGAAATTGTAGGCGACGCGACAGGCGACCAACGGCTGTTGATATTGTTACCAACGGAAACGAGGTAAGTTGCCCGTGATAACAACACGATTTTTACGTTAAAACTTGGTGACCAAACTTTCGTCCTGCCTTACTCAACTGATAATCGTAGTATCTCGAAGTTTTAAAACATTTACTCAGGATAAGTTGATGTTACATGAAGTATTGGATACTTCAGTTTCTACTTATCAATCACAAATTGAATTTCATTAAAATTTCAAGACTTCAATATTTTTCTTAAAAAAATTAACGGCCTGCGGGCACTACAAGACTTAAAATTACCAGAAGCAGAGTTGTCACTTCAAAATAGACTGCTGCCATTAGAAGTATTATAACTATATATGTGAAGACGATCATTGCAGTTATATATACAACTTAAGCAGCTGTGAAATCAAAGCCTGACTTGTCGGACTTGAACGGGATTCGAACCCATGACCCCTACGATACCAGTGCAGTGCTCTACCAACTGAGCTATCAAGCCAACTGGGAGCTGGTCACTTTGTGAGTTCGTAATATACCGGTAGATGGTGAAGAATGCAAGTGAATATATGAAAGACCACATATGCTAGAACGCTTGTTTCTTGTTGCTTTATTTATTGTTTTGCAGGGAGTCGCTAAAATTGTTGGTGTTTCCTACCTGCTTATAGACGTCCTAGCCTCATCCATTTACATTTTGGGATCTGATTCAAAGCAAAATTGAGAAATAACTGATATAATTGCATAATTTGTCTGGACAGTACCTTTGCTTTGTCAGTAGGATCAACAGGCGAGTCGAAATCCAACAAGAGCCCAGCTACTTTAGTGTGTCCTTTGGCCGCTGCACAATCCAGGGGGGTCCACAAAAGGGAGTTCCTTAAATTCGATCAGATATTTCAATCAATAAATATAATTGTTATTCCAAAAAAAGAAACTTAAACATAATTTCCATCATGAACGTAAACATACGTGTACATGTACCAGTAGTCAGTAGGAAGGACAAGGAGATCACAGCGAATGCAGTAAATAGCGGCAAAAGGGGAATAAATAAAATAGGAAAAGGTAAAGCCTGCATTTTGACAAAAGACAAAAATAAAGTATTGCAGACACTGACTTTGATGACAGTGTAATGCATGTTTTTTTTGCTTTGTTTTTGACAGGTTCCTCTTACAGTGTGCTTGTATCCATTAATTTTATAATCCCAGACGGAGGGAGGCGCTGTGAGAGTAGAGTATCTTGCCAAGGACACAACACAATGATCCCACCAGAAGCTGAAGACATGTAATAGCAGACGGTCTCTCTTACCGTCTCTACTACAATATACTTCTTGTTTTCTCTGTGCAACCTTAGACATCTTGTACAAAATTTGTTCAGTACTTGCCTACTGAAAACTTGAATACTACATGAAGCTAGTTGTTACTGGAAGTGACAGCAGTTCATGTAAATTGTCAGTATGTACAGAAAAGCCCACATTACACTCACCTTGCATCCACTTCAGCTCCTCGCTCTAACAGAGCCTTGCAGCACTTCACATGACCCTCTATTGCCGCCAGGTGCAGCGGTGTGTTTGATGCTTCATCCTCATCATTAACGATGGAGGGATCCCTCTTAACCAGTTCAATTACTGTTCTAAAAGTGGAAGAATAAATATTGAGCTTCATGGCAAGTTGAGTCTAGACTTCTTTGATGTGAACATTTTCAATAACATGGCCACTTCTCTGGGCTGAATATCTCTGTGCTACAGTATCTCTGTGCTTGCTTGAACTCAAGCTGGTCATTCCAGAGCCTGATTTACTAACCATGCATTATAGCTCTTCTCTACCCAATTACATGTATGTTATATGTCAATCCATTTAACATGGAACAAGGCAATTTTGGTGGCCCACTGTTGATAAGATTTGCAGAGGACATGATCTCTCATTAATGTATCTGTAACAATTTAACTAACGATGATCAATCACGTCTTCATTTCTTTCTCCACAGTTCAAATATATGATCTTTCATATACTCACTTTTAACTTCATCTCTACCAACTGCCATCATGTATGTTCTCTACATTGACCTAAACTGGAGTCACCTTTAGTTACCAATAAGCCCCTCAAGAAATTAGCCCACCAAAAACCCTGTTTAAAACTGTTTAAAACAAACAGGCCCTTAATAAAAGAACCTGATAGCAAAAAGCATACAATAAACTGCAGACAGAGGGTATAAATACTCATTCTTTGTGCATTGTACCTTATTCTTCCATTTTTAGCAGCCAAATGCAGAGGAGTATTCTCATCTTCATTCCTGGCATCTATTCTGGCACCATGATTTAACAATGTCTAATATTGAACATTCAAAGCTATTCATTAATACATAATAACATACAATTTGAAAATAAATAACTAAATACTACTTTTAATCACTAAAACCACAAGTACAACATTGGTATGGTTGAGCTCCACATAATGGGAGCAGGTGTCAAGTGCGGGATTATTTTGTATCTAGTTTGAGGTTGAGACTATTACAGACAAATTAATTGCAGATTCTATTTTGCTTCAATGGTCTTTCTCTGGGTTCTCCATTACATTGCATTCCATTGAGTTGCGTTGCATTGCGCTGTGTTACATGCTGAAAATTTATAATTTTTTTGAGTTTCTGATCCCAGAAAAACAATTAATCCTCATTAATTTTTTCCTTTATGGTTAATTATTGAAATCAGGAGCTCTGCTTTTAGGCTTGGCTAAACCCAGAAGTATAATATTATTATATTATTTATTAGCCAAGACAATCCCTGAAAATATTGTGAATTTCATCTGCAACAATATATAAATTATAACTCACCTCTGCTACCGATGTATAACCATTCATAGCAGCCACATGCAAGGGAGTGTCTTCATAACGATCACTCTCGTTAATTAGATGTTTGGCATCTGGATGTCCAAGGATTTCCTGCATAATTATTTTTAACAATGTCCATTATTTCAGATGTAAAGTTCAATATGTACAGCTGCTCTAAACTTTAAAGTCTTCACTATACATCCAAACTGATTGCTTTCAAGCATTTGCCATCTTGTTTTAAAGTTAGTTATTTATTCTTAGCACTCATCAAATGACTGCTTCTGATTATTCACTTCACTGAGAAACATATATACTGTCTTTCAATTGATAGCAATCACAATCTCTTCCTTTATCAATGTTACCGCATGTATGTTAACGCTACTAATAAATGCTAGAGCTTATCACGAGTGAACTTTATCACAATTATACATTTCATATTCATTATCAAGCTAGCAAATCAAGATGGAAATTACTGAATACAGATTGCAAATAAGTATTAACTAAAGTTAATTTGATCTTTAGGAAAGGACTAGGAAAGTCAACAGATCAGCGATTTCAAGCAAAGCTTTTGTCGTCTTTTGGAATTCCAAACTGTGTTACCCCTCCAATTACCTTCAGAATTCCAGTCCAAGAACCCTCCCCCCTCCCTCAGAATTCGAAGATGCTGCCCGTGGTATGGGCATGGATAATTTCTGCAATCACGACAATCACCCATTACAGCCGACAAGCTTGAACATTTTTAAAAGCTAGCTACATATAACATACTCTTAAGGTATCAACTCTGTTTTCCTCAGCAGCCAGAAAGATAGCAGTTTTATCATGCGTGTCTGTTGCTTTTAAGTTGGCTCCTTTTTCTAAAAGAAGTGTGACAACAGCTGTGTGGCCTTCTGATGCTGCAACCAATAGGGGGGTGTAATTGTCTTTGTCAAAGCAATTAATGTCAGCACCTCTGTAAAAACAAAAGGAGCTGTTGCTTTACATACACCTTTTTTATGTGCAAATGTATCTGACAGCAATTTAAGAACTCTATAACATATGCCGAACAGATGAATGCAAACCTGGAGAGTTCATGATCAAGTTAAGTTCAATAATATTTTCCATTTGAAGGGCTTAAAGAGGAAACATTGTAAGGAGCTAGGTCTTACAAAAACGTACACGTACAAATGACTGGCTATTCTTGACACTACAGCCTGTATATTCCGCCATCTTCTTTAATTTGCTTAATCCATTTGTGATCCAAGAGTATTATACATGGTTGTACAGTTGCACTTTTTAACATGAATACCACCTGTGTCTGTATTATAAAGAGAGGTACAGATCATATTGTCTGAGTTCTGGTTTCTCTGGAAGTAGGTGAACTGTCCTATGATGTCCACATCACACAATGAAGTCTTTGTAGGGAAATATTTGAGTACAAAACATATTTAGTGAACACAGATAGACAACAAAGCATGATCTTCTAGCCCTTACTTTTCAAGAAGGAATTCCACCATCCTGAATTTATTGAAGGCGGCAGCTTTGTGAAGAGGTGTCTCATGGTTAGCATTTCTTGCCTCAATCTTGGCACGGTAATCAACTAAAAGTTTTGCAATTTCGACGTACCCATTGATGGCAGCAATGTGCAATGGATGAGCAAGATTGGCTCTTCGAGATCTCACCTTTGCTCCTTTCTCCAAACACATTTTGACGATGTCAAGATACCCACCCTCCACTGCAGCATGAAGTGCAGTTTCCCCTTCCTTGTTTCGATCCTCCAGCATGTCATATATTTCTTGTTTTTTCTCTGCATGTTCAAATAACAGTTTCACAGCCTCAAGATTTCCATCAGTACAAGCAAAGTGAATCGGTGTCATCTTTTCTATGTCCTTTGCCCGTGGATCAGCGCCAGCTTTAAGTAAAGCTTCAATAATTTCTGCCTTTCCCTCAGTGGCAGCGCAATGAAGAGCTGTACTTCCACTTGCATCTACAGCCTGTCCATGAACAAATCAAAACAACGTAGTCACACAGGAGTGTTTGCATCCAGCTATTATAATTTATTACATAATTATGTAAATATTAATTATCCAGCACAGCATTATACATGATTTGGTGCAGGTGAAAGGAACCTTTCTGAGTTCTCTCAGGTTAGAGTACTGCTCTCTGAACGAGACACAAACGTCATCAAGCGGAGAAATAAAAAATACAAATACTGTACAACATACAACACACAAAGAGAAGGAGGATACAAGAGTGGAATGGATTCCCACTTTTATCTATCACAAACAGTTCTGCTCTCCAAGGAATGCAAAAAAACCCCATTTGATTAGCCATTAGGTATCTTTTTTATACACTCTACAGACATATTTACATGTATTTCCTACATGCAACTATTAACAGCTAATTATTAATAAAAATTATCTGTTAAGTCCTATATATTGTTACATATAAAGAATTATCATTTTTCATTGAAGATATATATTACTATTAAATTGATAAGATTTTTTCTTTTTTTCTCAAGCACCTGAGCGGGCAGGAATCCTAAATCCTCAAATTTGATTGGCTAATCATACGCATGTGACCGGTCCAGCTTTTTACAATATGGCCCCCAGGCCAGATTTTTTCCCTGCTGCCTAAATTTAGCTCCTAAAAGTTAGCGGTAATCGTCAATCTTTTGCCTTTTTTACACATCCATCAACGATTTGTCACTGCAAGTTCATCTCTGTTCACTTTAAAATGGCAAGGAAAGTCACTGTAAGTAAAGAGTGAGTGTCTTGAACTTGTGAGAGTTTGCTTGGTTGTCTGTAGCTTGGCGCTGCTAAAAATGGCAAGTAATCCTGTGTTTCTCTCGCTGTAAAATTTGAGTCAATTTCAGACAAGTTTACCTCCCTGATTGTTGCTGTATTTAGGAACATTTCTGTGGAATACACTTAACGAATTTCCTCGCTTTCTGCTATTCAATTTATGGCAGAAAAGTCTGATTTCAAGTGATTTTAAAAGCAATGACTGACAGAAACTGTTTTTGTAGTAAAACTTCAAACTTCGCACAAAATTTCACACTGCAAAAACAATTTTGGAGAACTTAACTGGTGAAATAAATGCAACTAACATAAAGAAGTTCGAAAAAAATCTGTTCTTTGATACATCTTTCTTTGTCCACTACATTGTATCTGAGTTACTCGCTTGTTGCCAAGATTTTTTACAAATTGTTAGTAGACGGCACAAAAGCCGATTCAATGACAAAGTTGCGTAAATGAACCCATTTGTAATCTGTAAAACCAATTTACTGCAGGAAAAAAAAATAAACCTGTTATTTGCCAGCTTAGGGCCGGTCCGTATAGTAAAAAACTGTGACCTCGGGCAGCATTTTCAAGACCTCAGTCACGGTTTTTCACTATACGTACCTCCCAGCTGGTAATAACATATATAAAATTAACCCAGGTACTAAGTTAAACATAGCTAGCCAAGCCACAAAACACATTAATACACACTCAGTAACTCACATCAACACCTATCCCCTCGCACTGCAAAAGTTCTATTACGGCCATTAAATTGCCTTTTGATGCCGCATAATGAAGTGGCGTCATTCCATAGTGGTCACGAATATTGACTTCTGCAGCATGTGTGATTACAAGAAAGGCTATCAGGGATTCATCTTCTGTTAAAGCCTACAATGAGAAGTTAAACAAAGTTTTACTCTGTGAGCAAACCAGCTGAAAGGTTAAAAACCTGGTTTAGTGTATTTAAAATCAACAGTAAAATTGATCACAAAAATTAATAACATTGAGCACTTTTCAAAAAATGTTTGAAAATCAACATAATCATTATACTTTTTCAAGATGTTAGCATGACCCATGCCATTAGCTGACTGTTTGCAAATTCCCCCATCAATAAAAATATCTTCACTAGTAATATGCCACTGGAGTCCCAGATATAGTCTTGTATGAATCTTAAGAGTGGTGTATTATCCAGCAAAACACTTTTGTGTACATGTACATGTGCATGTGTATATTTATAATAATTAATAATATTTATACATGTATATACTGGAATTCCAGGCCTCAGCCTACACCAGGAACCACACCTCATCATATAAATACAAATTATTAACTACAGTTCACTAACCATGGCTATCACAGACTATACACATGTGTAGGCTCAGAATAGGTCTCAATATATATGTCTCCCTTTTGATTACATTTATAAGATTACATTGCGTAGTGACGTATTAACTTGGTAGCCACATTTACTTTACACACACAATGGCCAAGATGATTTTTTCAGACCTGTGATGCTAAATTATTGACATCTACTCCAACAGCACTCAAAGCGTTTGTCAGGGGTGCGACTACACCTTCTATGTCACCATCGACACCGTCAGGACCAGCTTGTGTCACTTGTCTGCTGGCAGATGGACGTGCCAAGTTTGCTCGAAATCTTGCTGCATAATGAAGTGGTGAGGCTCCATCTTCACCAGGAATGTCAACAACTAAGAAAAAAGGAAGAACTAGTCAGGGCTGTCAATAAGGGCTGTAACCAGTAACACGTTTACAGCCAAGTATGCTTCATGACCCCATGATGTTACAGGTGAACTTGCCTGTTGATACAGTTCACCCATCAAGCACTTAATACATGTAAGAAGTTTGCTAATGTGATAACTGAGGCTACAGGTGAATCAAAACTTGATGAATGATAGCTCCCAGTGGTCAGATGAGGATAGTAGGGATGATAATGCCAGCAATAATATTGTTTCTATAGCCTTTTTTGTTTGCGTACACTCTTTACACGCATTGTGCAAGGCATGGTTTACACACCAAATGTGTGCTAGGGTTGACATTGACCCTGAAAGGAGCACCAAACAAAAAAGATGTCAAAAAGATGAAAACAACTCATTTGATAATGGGAAATGGAAGTGGCAAGCTTATTCAACACGTACAAGTGAATAGTTTCTGATTGTGAGGATAAGCTATTAAGTATTAAAATTATATATAAAGCTGTCTACATTTACATGTATATTAAGTAGTGTACAAACTGAAACAGGTTCTAATTGCAAATTTGTTCATGTCAAAATCATACATCACATGACCAATCACACGACTGTACCCAACTTTTGTGATTTTTGCCTCAAAAAAGTGGTAGGAAATGGGGGACACTTACTCAAAGGTGAGTGTTCACTTCAAATTTGGTTGATACAAGGGTTGCTTAACACAGTGGACAGCTTTTGGATGAGAGCACATCGTATGTCAAGTAAATATTGTACACTCCATCAGATGTACATTGAATCATACTGAATGAATTGTCACAAAAGTAACATGAATCACAAGATAAAAATTAGCCAGCATAGCAGACGTTTCCCTTGGACCATTTACAGAGTGTGGAGATTGAGCAAGAGAGCGAGCAAGTGAGCAAGTGAATGAGTGTGCCTGGTAAAGTGTGCATATGAGCCAAGTGGCCCATCAGGCCAGAGCTTAACCTGGTTTCTGTAGCATGAAGCAACTAGGAGTATTTCTACTCCCCCCTGGATGGGATGCTAGTTCATCGCGGGGTTACCCCCAGCATTAAATTCGCCAGTACCCATTTACACACCAGGGTTGAGAGAGGCACTGTGAGAGTTAAGTGTCTTGCTCAAGAACACAACACAATGTCCCTGGTGAGGGCTTGAACCTGGACCGCTCGATCTGCAGACGAGCACACTAACCATGAGACCACCGTGCCTCCCACTACCATGAGCGTGCCTTACGTGAGCAAAAAATGGGGAGAGGTGAGGAGGGGAAAATTTTTGCCCCACCCCTTCCCCATGCTCCATATTTTTTGGCACTTGCTCGCAGTTTCATTCCCTTCGTGTGCTTTTGGAAATGCCTGCTATACAGGCTAGATAAAAATGTTTTTTAGTAATAATTATCGTCTTGTAATTAGTGTATTTGTATGATTTTCTATACTGTCTGTTTTGTTTAAAAAATGTTATAATTATAATCAATGTAAGTAGCTGGTGTAAATATTGCATGTCAACGTAAGCCAAAGCTGTAAGTTAATGTCCTTTAATTTTTTTCTGTAAGTAGCGTACTGTAAGTTTGTTGTTGACATGTAATGTGTAGATTGTAATGCCTAGACATATATTCCGTAGACTGTTTTCATTGGCTGTTCTATAACTGTATTTTAAGTTGTAATCGTAATTGTTTAAGCAATGAAAAAAATAAAAAAAAATCCATTGAAATCTGGTTTACCTGCTCCACACTCAACCAAAAGTTTGACAACCTCCACATGACCATAACGCACGGCATAGTGCAAAGGTGTCATGTTATCTTCGTCAGCTTTGTTAATAACTTTGAGACGTCTTGCAGAGTTTCTTTCAAGTTTTTGAAGTCTGTGTCTGATGACATCGATTTTTCCATCTCTCGCAGCCTATCAAATGTGACACAAATATATATTAACTTATAATAAGCCTGGAATCTACATGAGAATTACCAATTTATAGACAATAACATTGACATCCGAACCATCAGAGCAAATAGCTAAATTTGAGCATAATTAAGATGTTAAGTTTCAAGTCAGTGTCGATCAACTAACACAAGTTAAGTGTTAGGTTGCTTCAGTGTGGCAGAGCCAGGGTTGATTGACATTTAGAGAAACAAAATGTTTCATATGAATTTATTATAGACATAAAAATATCAATTATAACAAAGTGAAATAATTGTAACTTGTCACCTGGGTGAAAATGTAAATTCTGTCAATATTCTTAAAATTTATCAACCAGAAGGTAAATTAACAATACTCATAACAGTGTATGAGTTGTCATAGCAACCATATTAATTATGGAAAGTGTTTTTAAAATGTTTGCATAGCAAGTGATTGAGAATGTTTTGATTAACATTCATGTCACTTATTTTGAAAGCTTCAGTACTTCAAGGCTTGGTTAAGTCTCCTCTAAGTATAGACTGCGGGAAAGCAATGTTGTAGATGACAAATAAAATGGCTGAGACATCACCCTTAATTAAGTGCTGAATTATTTTATGAAGAAAACTTATCTGTTGTACATTACATCGGAAATTTCGAACCAACAAGTCTGCAAAACACTGGCTGAATTAACCTTTACTACAGTCGTGTCAAAATTAACGTACAAGCCTACTTATCTTGAACGAATGAACGAAATGTCACAGCCAAATGTTTTGAAAATGAATAGCTGACCATGACTATTATTGACTTCGTTTTATCTTCCACCCAGCGGGTAATTATTAATGAAAGCGAACGCACATTCAGAGATCACCTGTTACTAAAAAAATTTTCATACGTTACATGATTTTAAAGGAAACAAATTTGGAGGATTTGATGTCATGGTCGGGCTTTAAGCCTGTCATCGTGTCTACAAACAGCTAAATTGGGTTGTAATATAAAGCTTAAAGCTTACAATTTAAAATATCTGGATGAATGTTTTTATGAACAGAAACATAACCTCCAAAGCTGAAGTAGCAATAACATCGACAAAAAAGACTAAAATTAGAAAGGTGTTCATTGGGCCATTCATCAGGATGCAGAACGTTCTACAGTTGTTACGCTTCAATGGCTAAGCATGCTGCAATATACGAAACAAGGAAAACTCTGTAGAGAGACCTCTAGAGATACAACCGATTGCTTTGTTTAATTACAGAAACTCGTTTAAAAGAAGTAATGACTCAAAGCGTAAATTTTTACCTGATGAAGAGTTATGTGCGAGAAATCATCGATATCTGGGACTTCCAAGGTGGTGTCCAACGCGGGTTTGGCGGGCTCCGGGTTTACTTGAGTCATCTCTATCGGTGTCGTTCGATCGTACGCATCTCCGACAAAAGTGTACGACATGGTGCACAGCACAAGCCCTGATGTGACTTCCTACACTCGACTTGGCCACGAACTGCGGAAAACGAGAGGACTATATTAGCAAACGAGTCCTGAAAATTTGAAAGTAACACAACCCTAAAATACTCGCGCTCTACTCACACTTGTGACTCATATTTGAGGTTGTCAAGCGAAATACACAGACAAAGCATCATGGGTAATTATGCTTTTGTAGCGCTGACAGAACAGGAAAACCACTCGAATCATGTGGAACTCCTGAGACCATAAACAAGCTAAAATGTCATCTCCTTTTGACATTTCACTGGCATTTTACGAATAAATCACGAGGACATTAAAAATTGCTTCGTATTTCAGTCTGAGCTGTCTTTGAGAGGCCTAAAATTATCGAAAGCAAGGCCTGTTTTTCAAGCTATGAAAAATGAAAAAAAGAAATGCTCTCTGTAAATATTTATCGAATTCATCAAAGTGCCACCGACTGATGAGAAATTTTTGAATACAAGGCGATGTACGCGAACAAATTTTCTACTGTGTTATTGCATCAGTGCGGTTGCAGGTAGGGGTGAGCGCGATATTAGTTAGAGATCAAAGCAGAACAATCAAAGAAATTAAACATTGGTAATACTAGTATTTTTACTTGGTTAAAACGTCGGATGGACGTAACAATATATTCCGCAATTCACATCGTCCTTCAGTAATGGCTTAATAAATATTCCACTTTGTCAGATGACTGGGAAATAACTTGACCGTTTCTATAGTTACATGAATCAAACACAAAAAGTACTTTCACGTGAATAAGAAACATAGGTTTGACGTCCGCGATGTTGTTTCAAGACGTAAATATAAATAATTCAAATCATTATATGGCTAGCTCCGTGAGCGGGCAAGATGAGCCAAGTCCTGCGCTGTGATTGGCTACCCCGCGAGCGGGCAAGATGGCGCCATCTTGCGCGCTCGAGATTACCCGCTGTCTCGCCAGAAAATAGTGTTGCCGGTTTTTCCATATAATAAATCCTTTATTTTATTGACCAATCTTGTTTAGGCCTGCCCCGACTAAGCTCGTAAAATGCTGGAAAGTTGCTTACGGGAAAGTCAAAACATTTCTAAAAAATTGCCAAAAATCCAAAAAGTTCCTACCTAAATTTCTTGATATTTTTACATAAACGTTAATTAAAAGTTTTATTTTTCGTTCTTCACAGTAATTTCTAACATCGGTCTGAAAAATAACGTAAAACTTGGCTTTAAAGAGTTGCTCGCAAATATGGGCGAAATTTAAGGATACTGTTAAGTCTAACGGAACAAAACACATGGTTCATTTAACGTCTTACCAACTTGAACTAAACTAACTCTACTGACCGCATTCCCGAAGTTTAAAACCATATAAGAAATCAAACCGTTCCACCTTCAAGGCTTCAAGGTAATCGTGGAAGGCGGGCTCTTGGTATGAGCCAAATACATTGATCAGAAGACTAAAACCCTTTCTGCAGAGGCAGAGATTGGCCGAATCAATAGGAGTGTTTTAACGAGCTAGTGAAGACAAAGACGGCCTTTTTGGGGCGTAATTTATGCTTCTTACTAACCGAGTTTCAGGAGTGTACTGTAAGTTACGAACCGAGTTTTTTCCTCCATCGATCATAGGCGTACGGGTCGGGGCGGGCTGCAGCCGTGCTCACGCAGTCTTCAGAAAAAGATCCAAAAACCTCCTCTGAGAGCAGAGCCTTATTGACCGCAATTTGTGACTTGGACTTGTCTACTTTCGGATTGTGTGTGCTGAAAGTAATCCTGAGCAACACTAATAGTCTATGCCGATGTCCTCTGGGGAGGACTGTCGACGTCATCTCGGCTCGTAGAAATGCCGACATGACCATTGAGACCCTGCGCCAGTGTCGGAGTGAAGGAAGTTTCAACAGCGTATGGCAGATAGTATCAGCAATAGATCTGAAAATGAAGAAGTGGCTGACCAATTCTCAGTTTGAATTACGAGAAGCCAGGGCACCCAGACAAACGCCATCGCACCGCCTTCAAGCCCTTGTAGGTGAACATGCGCAAAGACAAACGCAGCTGACACCGGAATCGCAACACCGCATTAACACTTACTATGCGTCCTTCGACAAGGTGCTGTCCGAGCTTGAGCTCAGGTTTAGCGGAAATGACCAGGAAATACTCTGTGCTATGGGAAATATCTGTCACGGTATAACACCTGATAAAGAAAGCTTCTCCCCCGTTTCTAAATTTTACAAAATTGACGGCAAGATTCTGGAATCCGAACAGAAAATATACGCGAGTTTTTGTCGTGCGCGCGGATTAGGCTGCATGACTGTTTCAGAAATGCTGGAGACAATGCACGAGAATGATCTATTTGATATGTTTCCAGAATTTTCTGATGTGGTACATATCCTTGCAGTGATACCTGCTACATCGTGTTCTGCAGAACGATCATTCAGTGCGCTGCGCAGATTAAAAAATTACCTCCGTAGCACCATAGGGCAAAAACGTGTCAGTAACATCGCACTTATTAACACTGAAAGGGCATATGCCAACGCTGTAGTCAACAACGACATGGATCGTATCATTGATATCTTCGACCGTCGAAATGGCAGAGACAGCTATTTCTTTTAACGTGTTTTATGAGCTCATATGATAGAATCATATGTAAGAATATTTTCACTTCATATTTAGGTCTATATTAGTGCACCGTTAGTGACCCTCGTTTCTTTTCGACTCAGTTTCGTAAATATTTGGACAACTTGAGCGAATTTTTTTGGGCAAATGGCTCACCGTCCC